CGCGGCTCGTCAAGGCTAGTGCGCACGCAAAAGAGGTAGCGTGACGTTAACAAAATATTGCGGTTTCGATGTCGATTAAAAACTTTTGCGTGCGAGATCACTCGAATTGATGCAACAGGAATACTCTAAAGGGCAGCGACAATGCGACTATACTTTAGTGGTACAGTGAAAGACATTACGGTCGCATCCTTTCTTCTGATGTAGCGCTTTCTGGGATGCTAGCCAACTACTGCCCCTCGCGTCGATGAGAAATAACCCAGTCAAAACATCACCTCGTTGCATAATTTGACTACTAATAAGCAACTAACACGACGATGGAACATGCAGCACGATCGATCCGAGTGCTCCGCGGCACGTCGGACAGCACGGTGTGATCGCCAGCCAGTCACGCAAGCACGATACGTGAAAGCCATGACCGCACGCCAGCTCCAAGACGATCGCAGAGGCAAAGCTCTCCAAGCAGATCGGACACGCGTCGTCGATCGTCGTCGCCGTGGTCGTCGTCACAGTGACGCTCAAGGCTTCCTGAGGAATCCGGAGAAAGATAAACAGTCGCGCGAGGACGCCGGCTGGCACAACTGGCGGTTCGTCGGGATACCGCAGAGCGTGGAGCCAAGCGGTCGCGTAGAGGCTCCAGACGTGCGACACAAAGCTGCCGAGATCACGCATGCGCTCGGCAATCACACTCGGCTTCTCGGCATCAAAGTGCTTCTTTGGAAACGGCAAGCGCAGAACGTACGCGAGGTACTCACTTGGCGTTGCTGTCGTCGATAGCGTCTCGCGCATCTGCAGCACGTCCGAGTAGCGCTTATGGATGGTCCAGCGATGGCTTGTGATGGGGCAGGCAAGCGTCATGTCATATTGCACATAGTACCCGAGGCTGCATGCGCGGCCGATCGAGACGAGCTCGGGCACATGGCGAGTCGTGAGGGGGGCCGGCCAAAGCGATGTCCATGGTGCCAACTGGAGGTCTGTCGGCGGTGACTTGGCGTCGGCCATGGCGGTTGCGAGCGCGAGGAACGGCAGATCGCCGTGCGGGGTTGGGGGGCGTGAGTACATGGTACGCGTGTCGAGTTGAAATCGAAAATGACTATCTTGGTCACGACCAACATGACGCATGGCATCGCTTGCCGCGACTACACGATCGCGTCAAAGGCCTGGTAACGCCTGCGCCATCCATTCAACCATTCAATGTGGCGCTTCTGCACAAAGACGCCCAGCGGCTTCGGCGGTCGTCTCTGGCGTTGGTTTGCACGCCATCGGTCGCAGTGTTCAGAGCCAATGCTTGGGCGCCACGGCCGTGCGTCGCGCTGATGCCCGCCCCGCTTTTTTCAAATTGGGTTTAGAGCGCACTCTCCGAGACGTGACGTTCGTATCAAGTGGGTTTAGAGCGCACTGTCCTAACGTGACATCTGTTTCTAGTGGGTTTAGAGCTCACTGTCCACACACGTGATGTTTGTACCACGAATCCACTTGGTAAGAAAGGGTTCGTGACGCTTCGACATGGCACTTCTGACACCGTCATGGTGGCATGAAGTCATCCGAGCGCGCACATTGATCAGTGTTGTAAACGCCGAAACACCGCTCGATCAGCCTCAACACGACGGTGCTGCTGCCAAGGTGCTGCATGAATCGGCGCGTTGCCGTAGCATCCAAGTCAAACCGTCTGTCTCTACCAATTACCACCAGGCCGCCACGAGCAGCCACCTGTTGCCGAGTATACGTATCGATCACTGCGCGCGGAATTAAACTCGCTGGCGCTTGGCGCGCCAAGTGTACCGTCGCACTCGATTGGCTAAAAGTGGCCAATCAGCACCAAGCTTTCTGCCTCGTTCAGATGATCCTCCTCACTTTTCATTTTTCTTTGCCATGACAACGCAGTGCCACTCCAAGAGCGACGAGATCCATTTTATCGCATCCGCCAAGGCGCTGGTCGCGTCGTTGCCAGTCGTGTCGTCACCACTGACGCTGGCGCCATGGCACGCACCACCGGCAGCTTCACTGTTTCAGCTCACGCCCGTCAGTCTCTCGGCATCCATTGGCTCGGGTCAAAGCGCCTTTGGCTACTATGTACAATACGACATGACGCTCCAGTGTCCGATCACATCCCGCGCCTGGACCATCCACAAGCGCTACTCGCAGCTGCTCAAGTTCCGATCGCAGTTGACGAAGCTTCACGCTACATCTCCGTCACCATCACTAGCTTGCCTCTTGCAACTGCCCTTTCCCAAGAAGGCTCTCGACTCGGAGAAGCCAAGCGTCATTGCCGAGCGCATGCAGCGCTTCCAGACCTTTGTCGAGCACGTCTGGAGCTTGTACGCGAGCTGCGTGGTGCCAACCAGCGGCGCGCCAGAAGAAGCCGCCGCCGTCATCGCGTGTCTACACGAGTTTCTGAGTGTGCCCGAGGCCGTGCTGGCCATCTCGGTACGCCACATCGACGAGATGCCCCAGGACATGGACCCGTGCGTGGTGTGCTTGGGTGAGTTCGACGTTGACGACTTGCGCTGTCCGTCGGCGGTGCTGGCGCTGTCGTGCGGCCATGTGTTTCATCGCGATTGTCTTCAGCAGTGGTGTGCGGTGGCGGTCACGTGCCCGACATGTCGACGTGACGTCGGCGGCATGGCCAGCCTCCAGCTCCAGTAGTTTCGTGCGAGGACAAGTTTTTAACAATTCTATGTGTGATAATGTAGTTTACGGCCCCGCTTTGATCTTAGTTGTTGTTGGATGGGACATTGATGGTGTGCATGCGCATGACGAGGCAACCACGTGGGCACTGGGCCATTAAGAACGAGTAGATATCCAATGACGCAGACTCGTGTACAACTTGAGCTGTGTCAGTCGACACATATCTTGCGCCAAATCGTTGAATATCCCTGCGGCCATATCTCGAGCGATGCTGACGACGACATAATTTCCGTGAACCGTGACTTTTCGAGCCATTTCGACAGTGTCGTTTCAGTTACAAGTCGCCGCTCGTATCAGCGGCAATGAACGTTCCAGATAGGTGAGTCTCGCTAGTGAGCGCGCTCCTCTTTCGGAAGCGCATGGGCTGCCTCTCGCCCGACCCATCGACGCCCGTCACCAGCGGTCCAAGCCTACATTGACACGATCAACGATTTCTTTGTTGCGTAGCAGCGCCTCGAAGCCGTGCCACCGAGCTTACCGGAGGCGCTCTTAAAATGGTGCCAGCGTACAAGGCATTTGCCTCCCACACCGACTACCCGCAGCGTCTCTCGCACAACCGCACGAAGGTTGCGTCGACATTCGTGTTGTTGCCCATGGCGGCGCAAACGTCGTCCCCCATTTTTGTCTGAATCGCGCGGCTGCGAGGTGACGTGGCACGGCAGTAGAGCGTCCAGAGAAGCTCATTTGTTGTCGTGTCGACACCCGAAAAAAGCAAGTCGACAGCCAACGTAATTGCATTGTGCTCACTCAGCTCGAGACGCGCGGAAACATGCTCAGCATGTTTGGCTCGGTCCTCTCGCGCGACGCCTTTCTTTCCAGCATGAGAGTGTGGCCGACGCCAAAGAGCTGTACCCGATCGCGAACCCCGACCAACGCTACCTCGCGCATGACACGACGCTCTTGGGCTACCAGATTCCCAAGGGCACCAGTGTTCTTTTAGCAACGTACACGATGAGCCAGGACCCCAATGTGTTTGCAGATCCCGAAGAGTTCAAACCCGAGTGCTGGCTCGACAAAAGTGCAAAGTCGGTACGCGATCAAGCAGCAGCAGTGTACTCGAGTTTGCCGATTTTGGCTTTGGCGTCCGGAGCTGCGTCGGCCGCGAGGCATGGTCGACGTAAGGTTTATGCAGGATAGTACAATAATGACGCGTCAAGAAGTGTGCTGAGTAACATCTTGCAAAGTTGCTTGGTATCTGGCGGTGTATACCAGTGGGTGTACACTGTGGAGGCTGAGAAAGCTACAGCAGAGCACTGCAACGCGAGAGAAGTGCTGTCTAAAGAACTGTGAGTTGAACATTCATCGTGGTCAGAAGGGATTCGCTGCTTGCTGACGTTGCTAGGACATTCCTTGCAGCCACGTTAGCTCGTAAAAAAGAAGAACGAAGTGTAGACGATGGCAACTGCAGTCAGCCTTGGTAATACCTTGTGCTTTTCTTGCAACGTCTTGCCGTCGGGATAAACGTGCATTTTGCGCATGATGGATGGATGATTCGAGTACTATTGATGCGTTTGACGAAAGAATAAATAAATATCTATATTCGGTCAGTTGCTTCACATGACAAGGCTAAAATCGAGTGGTTCGAGCGTCGCCAGCCATGCCCCATCGTTGTCTTCGAGCAGGTCGGCGCACAGCGCCCAGTCGGCAGCGTCCACGCCCATGTCTTCGTCGCTCGTCTCGTCCAGGGGGCCCTCAAACAGATCTTCGAGGGTCTCAAGTGACGGTAGCTCCATCACCGAGAGACTCTCGATCATCATCCTTGGCGACGACAGAGGCGATGATGCTGGCGACCCCTCGCGCTTGCGGGCGATCGGTGTCGTCTCGAGCGTCGAGCTGCGGTTGAACTCGGGGTGGCTGAACGTGCACACGTGCGACTGCGTCTTGGTCCACTTGCGGAAACCAAAGTAGTTGAGCTGGCGCTGGAAGCTAGCGAGTTTGTTGTGCTTGAAATACTTGGAGAGCACCTCGTTCTCAAGGCGCGTGACGCTAAAGAGCTGGATGGAGGCGCCGTCGGCCGACCACGAGATGATGCTGGGATCTTCGGATGTGAGGATCGAGTAGAGGTGGCGAAGGAACTTGGGCACGCTGGAGATGCGGGACTTCTTGGAGGTCGTCATGATGGTTGTAGTAGTTGTTGTTTGTGTTGCGTAAAGGTAATTGTGAGAATGAAGAGAGCGATGCGAGGTCGTTGTCATGTGGCAAGAAGGTTCGAGCATGGTTCTCAAGGTACCAAGTGGTGCTGGGCAGCGAGGCAGTCGCTTGGAACTCTCCAAGCGACTGCCACTCCAGGTGGTATTGATACACGATGACATTGTGTCGATCGCACAGCGTCTGAGTCTGTCATGCATGACCCTGAAATGTCATCACACTGGGGCCGTAGAGCTGTGACCAGCAGGTATCCTGTAACTAGTCATGGCGTCCTACGCCGTATATGAGGAAACAGCCATCGAGAGCTCTCAATACAATCGGTAAGCTCCAACCATGGCGAGGTTGCACACCGACAGTCTATGCGGGCAAAGCACTTGATACCTTGAAACCAGCCAGTCTTAACGGCTCGTGTCACTTAAATAGATCATGTCTCCCATGACCAAAAACGAGATATAATGTCCACCATATCAACCAAGCCTCGAGTTCCCATCAATATGGTCCGTGTGTCGTATGCTGTGGTGACCAGCGTGCCGCGTGGTCATCGTTGGTGTTGCACGCGGGATGCGCTGCAATGACACAGACGCTCAAAACATGTGGTTCCGGACCAGATTACCAGATGTGCGCACACAAACGAGCCAGATTGACAGCGAGTGGGGTCTGCGTGCAAGGTCTGCGTGCGCTGTCAGAAAGACGAGACGACGAGTGTGGCTTGCTCAACCGTGGGTGGTCTGGCTATGGTCCAGGTCAAAGTTGTGGTCTGGGTGGTCAAAGTTGTGGTCTGGGTGGTCAAAGCTGTGGTCTGGGTGGTCAAAGCTGTGGTCTTGGTGGTCAAGGACGTGTCACGACGCTGAACTTGCCTACTGTACACCAGGACACCATCACCTCTTTGGTTCACCGGACGTGCGGCGCTCACGTAGACATACTGCGATGTACGAAGAAGCATTGTCGATAGCTTGCTTGGACGCCAGAGGTTTGTTGGATACTAGTAGGCAGCCCGTCCATCGGTCGTCACGTAAGAAATGAAATCGCGTTTGGACAGGCGATAGAAGTAAAAGCAGTAACATGTCACGGCGTGCGATGACGGTCCATCGACTCGAAATTTGAGGAAGCCGACCATTTGGAAGCCGACGAGCGTTGTGAGATCGATGCACCTCCTCGTAAGTAGCCGGCATCCTTTGCATACATAGCTCTAGCAATATATGTATGCTTGTGCGTCGCAAATCCCGTCGATTCCAGAGCCCACTGCGCTGATCTCGCCGAATGGTACACGGTACATGTACCATACCTGCTTGATGGCAATGGCAATGTGGTTGCGTCATCATGTACTCAATGGATCTGATTGGCCAGCCTTGTGATGTCGCTCCCAAGCCCATCAACCAAGCGCAAGGAAATCTAATTGCCGGGTGTTGGACTCCTTTAAGCGCGGGACGAGACCGCCTTGGACGACGTCGCTCATCAGCGTGCTGCAGCCACGCTACCCACGCCCTCCCGCTGCCTTCGTGCCTCTTAATACGTGGCAGGCTCGTCGGCGCGGTACACTGTACAGTACATCCGCTTCCACTGTTACACGGGGTGGGCCTGTCTGATGGTTCGACACCCAGTCGCAGCCACTTTGCACTTTCCAAGATGCTCCGTGTGCGCCAGTGTGCACGCCTCAAGTCGACGCTTGCCGCGGTCGCGCCCGAGATCCCAGCGTCACTGAGCGCGATCCCGACGGCCCCCGAGTCGGGGTTTGGCCCCTTCCGTTGCAGCCTCGCGTTCTTTGGGAAGGACAATGGCCTTGGCCGGCACCATGAGCGTTTTGACACGCTGCACAAGATGCTTGGCCCGATCTACAAGTTTCGCGTGCTGCCGTTCTCGCCGTACATGGTGAGCATCTGCGACCAGCTCTCGGTCGCGCACGTGTACCGCAAGGAAGGGGCGTTTCCCGAGCGCTTCTCGCTCGCGTGCTGGCGCCTCCATCGCCGTGAGAAGCAGTGGCCGATCGGCATTGTCAACGCGCACAACCACGAAGAGTGGAAGAAGTTTCGCGCGAGCATGAGCGAGCACATTCTGCAGCCGCACAACATTACGACGTGGCTACCGCGGCTCAACGACGTGGCCAAGGACTTTGCGACGCGCTTGGCAGCGGACGCCGCGTCCTCCGACACGGTCAACGTCGCACTGCCGCTCAAGGCGTTTGGCCTCGAGTCGGTGAGCGCGATCGTTTTTGGGAAGCGCATGGGGTGCCTCTCCCCCGACCCCAGCACGCCCGTGCCGCCGGATGCCCAAAAGTTCATCGATGCTTTCTTCGGCGTGCTCCATACGTCCCAGGACATGCTCAACTTTCCGCAAGAGACACCCGACTGGATCTACAAGCTCCTTCCGGTCTACAAGGCGTTTGTGAAGCACGCCGACTACATCTTTGACGTTGGCTCGGCGTTTGTATTGGAGAAGATGGCCGCGCGCGACAACTCGATCGTCGACCAAGATCTTCTCAGCGTCTTTTTGGCCCGGCCCGAGTTTAGTCAGCGCGACGCGGTTGCCCAAGCCGTCGACTTGCTCTTTGCGAGTGTCGATACGACGGGCACGGCGCTGCTCTGGGTCACATACTGTCTGGCGACATCGCCCAACGGCCGTGAGATCCAGATCAAGATGCGCGACGAAGCAAACGCGGCGCTTGCTGGCAAGACCGACATTGACGATGCGGCGCTCGAGCAGCTCTCGTACATCCGCGCGGTTGTGAAAGAAACGCTGCGGCTCTATCCAGTGGCGAACCCCAACCAGCGCGTCCTCCCCAACGATTTGACGCTCCTCGGGTTCACCATCCCGAAAGGCACGAGCGTCCTCATGCAAACGTACACGATGAGCCGGGACCCAACTGTGTTTGAAGACCCCGAGGCGTTCAAGCCCGAGCGCTGGCTTGAGCGCGACGGCAAGACTGCGAGCCAGCGCCAAGCCGCGGCGTACTCGACCTTGCCGTTTGGCTTGGGTGCCCGTGGCTGCGCGGGCCGGCGCCTCGCCGAGACCGAGATGTACATGCTCCTCGCCCACCTCGTGCGCAAGATGGAGCTGCAGTGGCCAGAGGACCAAGCCCACCCGAACGCGATCATCAAGACGTTCATGATGCCCGACAAGGAATTCCAGCTCCGTCTTGTGCCGTGGTCGACGTCCTAGAGGGTGCAGACCTCCTCCGTCGAGTGTCTTGCAGAAGAAGAAATTAGAGTCCTTTGTAGCGTGTCTTGTTCGAGTTTGTGGGGCTTCATTGGGACGTTGTGCTAGTATCGACTGCTCGTTGTGACCGTGCATATATGTGCTTTCTATCAATCTATCAAGACAGCCAGCCTGTCGCACAAAGCGTGGCCGCGCTCGACCAACATCGACATTCGACACTCGCAAGGGTCCATCAACAGTCACCTGTTTATCGACCGGGATTATAGTCTGGTGCTGCTACGTACTAGGTCGTATATACTACTAGTACTAGACGACGCCAACGACAACACAAACTATATAGGCACTGATGCCTAGCAACCCGGGGCACCATGTTTCAGTGGCATACCACCAACGCCGTAAAGTTTATGGCCTTGCTTGTACCGACTGCAAGACACGTCTCGCTGGCGACAAATCGTATAATGCACTCGAGGGAATGCCTAGAAACACTCAACTAAACACCATATTATATGGTACTGCTTTCAACTTATTATACATGTACGTTGCCATTGTTTGTCGTCGTGTGCCGCTGGCTGGGCGTCTCCAAGAACGAGTTGCCATTTGCGTGCAGTTGGCGCGCACGCTGCAGCATCGACGAGCGCAAGAGGCGGCGAAACTCGATGGCGTCGGCCGCGTCCGGGTCGTGCTCGAAGACGTGGGCCATAAACTTCCATTCGTCCAGCTGGTTGCGGTCGCTCAGCACGCGCACGTGCATATCATTCGACGGCGACCCCAACAACGAACCGCGTGTCGACCACTCGGGGTGCGGCCACGGCGATGGAGGACCCTCTTGGGATCGGAAGTCGGGGGGCGGTGGACGTGGCCCGATCGGTAGCGCTCCCACAGCAGCGTGTCGCGTCCCCAGCTCGAATCGCGAGCTGGGCATATAGCATGGGGCGGCTTCCGGGCCTCGGTTCGCTGCTTCCGGGTGTCGGTACGCGGCCTGTGATTGCGCGACGGGTGGGTGCGGGTGCGAGAAGGCGGCGCGAGGAATGCGGTGCCCGACCTCGCGGAATCTGGGCGCTACCGGACGACTCCTGGCGGGCGCCTCCGAGATGGCGGCGGGCGGCTCGGCGGTGGCGACTAGCGGCTCAGAGATCGTGGCAGCAGGAGGCGCCGACGTGGTAGCCGCCCGCATTGAGGTGGCTGGGGGCATCGACGAGGTAGCAGGCGTCGAGGTGGCTGCAGAGTCTTCCGAGGCTGCGGCGGGCTCTTCCGACGACGTTGTAGGCTCTTCTACGATGCTGGCAGGCTCGTTCGAGGCCGTGGTAGGAACTTCCGAAGACGTGGCAGGTACCTCTGAGGAGGCGGTAGGGGACTCAATCGTCGGCTCGGACGTTGGCGAGGCGCGTGCGTTGGCCTCGGCGGGCGCGAGTGTCAGAAAAGAGGTGCGTGGCGGCGTGGTGTCGTGCGCCCGCTTGGCGCGCTTCGCTGGCATCTCGTCCGTCTGGTCGTTTGCGTCGTCTGTCGTTGGCTCGCGCGGCAAGCGAAGGAAGCGGCGCCATGCGGGTGTATTGCGCAGGAGGCGCCAGCACGCCAAGACACCGCGGCGGTCGATCGCGCCGAGCTTCTCGACGGGAATGGCCGCGAGCTCATCCAAGATGACGTAGTCGTCGACGACGTTCGGCGGCTTGACCGCGATCGCGCGTGCGACGGCCGCGTCAAGCAGCGTGAGGACCGCGCTCATCTTCTTCCAGCGCGACAAGAGTGCGACGGCCGACCGCGTCGTCGGGCGATCGCTGCGCTCGACGATGTACTCGTGCATGCGCGCGAAGAGCTCGGGCGGCCGCCGGCGCGTGCTCGTGTCTTCGCTGCAGATGGCCAGCCACGCGTGGCAGAGCTCGAGGTCGTCCTCCTTGGACCACGCGACGCCGCGTGCCATGCTCGTGCTTGGTCGCAATACTGTTTTAAACATCCGTGGGCGAATGCGTCATAACTTGGTTTCAGTATGCGATAAAATACACATTCATTTCCATTCGATTGGCTGCTTTTTCGTAGACTTTCAACCAATCCAATGTTGCTACAATCCTCCACCTCCATCTCCACCGCGTTCCCGCCACGCCCGTATCCAGGACACCGATTCTTCTGCTGTGTCTACAGTCCGCTCGTACTCGCCTACGGGCTTCGTTAGTACTAGTATAGAGAGGCTATCTCGTTTGCACTATTCATGGCAGCCGACAAAGATGCAGTCACCACCGTGGTCAAATGATAATTTGATACTTGGTACGTGGCAGGAAAGGTGGCCGTCTAGTGCACGGACGCAGTAGCCGACAACACCAGAGCAAGCTGCAGAACAATCAACTCCGTCCAACTGCGCGAATGCTCTCGGTCCCATGGCACTCGACTGAACCAAGCAAATGCAAAGTGAGATTTGGGTTATTAGCTAGGAGCTACGAAACCCTACCCCCAAGGTACGCGTTTCGTTTCAAGGACACGGGGCAACGTGAGCGCCTTCAACTGGAGCCATTCAACCGCACATGAGTGTCAAACTTGTCGGAGTCACGGCCTTTCTGGCGAGATCATGAACCTCAAGATAGCTATCGGCTATAACTCTCATTACCGACTGTCGGAGTTATGGGTGCGTCACCCGAGATCGGCGACCGGGCACGGTGTAGCGCTTGGTCACGCTAAAGACTTGGTAGCAATGCCATCGTCACAAGACAATATATGCTATAAAACCAACACTGCTGCATTCGCATGTCGACACATACATACCGAGTATAACTCCTATCGTACTAGTTTGCGGCGCGGTCAGTCCGCGACGCAGACGCCATGAAAGCAGGCGACGAGCGACGTCACGTGACGCCGGAGTGTCGGCAAGTCCAGTGGGACCAGCCGTGGCGGGTCGACCTCGGCAAAGCAGTTGGCGAGGAGGTCGAGGCCCGGCGCCGTCTTGGTCATGTAATCACCGGTCGATAAGAGCTTGTGCTCGACTACAAGCGCCAGCAGCTGCTGCACAAAACCTTCCAGAGGCGCTGTCGTGTCGTGAAGCCAAGGGTGGGCACGCGCGGCTGCGATCGTCGCGCGCTTGGTCGGGTGGAGCTGCAATAGCTGCTGCACAAAGTCGGTGGCATCTGCCGACAGTGTCCCGTACGTGAGGGATGATGAAAAGTCGGCGCCATCAAACGGAAGGCGGTGGAGTAGCATCGCATGCACGACCACGCCGAGGCTAAAGACGTCGATGGACGCACCGTACGCTTGCTTGCGGCACATTTCCGGGGCCATGTAGCCGTCGGTGCCGCACTGCCGCGTGAGCGGATGCCGGCACGACGTCGCAAAGCCAAAGTCGGCCACTTGCACCGTCAGCTTCCACGGCGCATTTGGGTCGATAGCGGTCACGAGGATGTTTTCGAGCTTGAGATCCCGGTGCACAATACCTTGGGCATGCATCGCGTCGACAGCGGCGAGCAGCTGCAAGGCAATGTGCTTGGTTGCCGTCTCCGAGAGCGGGCCGTGGGCCGTGACGTATGAGAGAAGGTCGCCGTGCGCTGCGAGCTCCAAGACGAGCGAGATCGTGCGGTCGTCGCCATGCTCGTTGTTGACGTCGTCAAAGTGGTCGAGGAGGCGGACAATGTGGGGATGGCCTTGCAGTGCGCGGAGACAGGCGATCTCGCCACGCACATCCTTGAGCGCATACGCGCTATTCGTCACACTGCGCGTCATGCGCTTGATGGCGACGGCGCGGCCCGACGCCTTGTGCCGGCCGCGCACGAGGTACGCCGAGCCGCCGGCGGCGAGGAGGGCGCTGCGGTCGATGTCGTAGACGTCGTCGAGCGAGGGCCGTACATAGGGGGCGAAGGGCACCGGTTTACCGGTGCAGGGCGCCTTGGTGAGCGCGGCCCACTGCGCCGCCCTCGAGAAGGAGCTGCCTCGGGCGGTCCCACCGCGGACGGCCGCGACCGAGAGCGATGGGCGCTGCATGGCTGCGATCTTATAAGCGACTGAGCTCGGACGTTGGCTGGAATCTTGCCGGATAAAAAGTCGAAGCCGGACCTTCTTCCGGATACGACGTTGAAGTTGCTTCTGTGAAAGAACGCAAGCGCGAAATCAAACACGCCATGCGCCACGCCGACACTATCAAGTTGATAGAACCTCGATACAAAGAAATCGACCAGTTTCTATACCACGAAGGACGCATAACGGCTCGTCGTTGTCAAGTGATGCACGCAACATGAGATGGGGCAGCGGAGACCACCAGCAGATCATCTTCGAATGGGCACTCGGCTGCATAAGTATGCTCCAGACGAGATACTACCGGGCAACGACAGAATGTGGTACTCTGTTGTGTGAAGGAAGGTCTGTTCGTTCGCCATCATAGTGCTCCAAGGAAGCAAGACAACGAGCTAGGAAGCGAGGCCCTTCCGAGGGCTAGGGTCTGCTGTGCCCGCATTCTCGTGTAGTCGTATGCTGGGTATCCTCGAGCCGTGCAGGTACGATTGCAATTGTTGACTGCGCTCATTCTGTGGAAATGGAATCGCTTGTCATCTTTGTCGTGTTGTGACATTCGAGCGGGCAACGCCTTCGAATACCAATGACCAAATCCCATACCCACTGGCGGTCGCCAAAATCTCCGATAGCACCTGTACGATTCAAAAGTCTACCATTGCAAATTGTTCTTACACTGTACTACAATATATATGAACGTGTTCCGCGTTATCTTCATTATTACACAAAGACTTCGCATACGTAGCGCTACGCCTGAATGCGTGGGAGTTGGCACCAGCATAGTAGCGTTTATTTCTTGGGGCTGTGTTTAGGGTCGAAGGTCAAGCAAGTACTAGTATGCCATCTTGAGCTGTTTGCCGATCTGCCATTTCAGAGCATAGCCACAAGATCAACGGCAAAAGCTCCGTGCAAGTCTGTCAATTGCTGGTTAAGCTCTCAGCCTCTTTGCAACTCGGAGTTTTTAACGCACCGACCAATCCCTTTTTTGGCGGCGGCGACCTCTAGTACGCAGCACGCGCCTCCTCCACCCTCTTGCATGTAGAGCGTCGTGGACGAAAATGATCAATGGCATGGAACGGGCCTGAAAAATACAGGGTCGCGCACTCTTGTGTCGCCTTCCTGCATCGAGAGACCGCTTAACTCGAGTATGTGTATCTGAAAGCCATATATCCTAACCGCTGGGATCCTAGAGTATGTGTATCTACTGGATGGTGTCAAGGCAGCGATGCTGGGAAAGGAATCAGCCGCGACCTCTAAAGCTTGCACCCCATACGTCTTGCGTGAGAAGCTAGCAGTTCCGTCACAACAAACCAAGATGGTCCCCCTTGGGTGTAGTCTTGCCGACAACACTCTCGGGCTACGCCGAAGACGGCCTCCAACGTGCTCCGAGCCGCGTTCCGCTACCTCTGGCCAGTGCTCCGCGCCTGCGTCGGGTTCAGCGTCTGGCAAATTCGAAACGATCGCGTCTTTCGCGCCGACCTTCCACTGCCAAGTCCATGGACGGCGGCGCGTGTCGCTCAAATGCACTTGCACCACAGCCTCGTTCAAAAGCCCGGGCAGATGGCTCTCCGTCGCCTTCTCCGGCTCCTCACTCAACACGAGCGGCCACGCCAGCACCTTGTCCCGCGGATCGCGCTCCTGCCTCAACAACAAACCAAGATGGTCCACGACAGGAGCCAAGTGCCTTCTCGTTAGCCACCTCATCGATTCAATAGTCACCTTGCTGGCGGCAATAGCAAGCGGCTTGCGATACTGCGCATTCGTTGCAGAGCCAGTGTGGATCGTACAATATCGCCTTTACCCAATTTCGTAGAAAATTTGAGCTAGGAAACACGCAATGATCTATAAACCCATGGGACTTTCGACGCCGCTAGATTACGTCCGACGGGCCGTCACATGGCTGCGTGCCCGTGCGCAGCAGACGTCGGCGACACCACCGCTCGCGTCGCAATACAAACTTCTGGACGGGCCGGTACTTGGTGTAGGATTTGCTGGCACCGTCGTGCGCGCGAGAGACCTTGCATCGGGCAAGGAGGTCGCGGTCAAGCGCCTTCGACCGCCGTTGCACGCCTCCTCGCACGCCGCCTTTCTCCGAGTGGCGCACAACGAAGTGGCTTGCTTGCAGTGCGTCGCTGGCCACAAGCACGTCGTCTTGCTTCTCGAGCGGTTTGAGACGTCCCACACCTTTGATATGGTGTTTCCGCTCGCGGCGCATGGCAACCTCGGACACTACCTTCGCGTTCACGGCGATATGCCCGAGATGGCCGCCAAGTCGGTCATCAAGCAAGTGCTCGCCGCGGTGGCCCACTGCCATGCTCAGCGCATTGTGCATCGCGACATCAAGCTCGAAAACATCTTGATCACACAAACACAAGAGACGTGGCGGCTCACGGTGCAGCTGGGCGACTTTGGCTTTGCAGCGATGCTCGACGAGTCATTAGTGCTGGAAGGGCTGTGCGGCACGCCCTTGTACGTAGCCCCCGAGATCCTATCTGGCGACGTGTACTCGATGGCCGTGGACCTCTGGAGCGTCGGGGTCGTGGCATACATTCTTCTGGCGCATGTGATGCCGACAAGTCCCCGAGGGTCCCAGTGCCAGCGCCTGCCGTCGATCGCAGCTCAAGCGTTCGTGCAGGCGCTACTGCAGGTGGACCCGTCGAAACGGAGCTCGGCCACAAGATTGCTATCCCACGACTACTTGACGGATTCTTTTGCAAGCCAAGTCTGGCGCGTCTGATGGGAGAAGAATGAAGAGCCACCGGTCTCCAGAACAGATGTATGTGGGAGTCGCAATGTGAACGAGTGTGTATGTCTAATCCCCGCGATGCGTACAGTACGAGTAGCACCCCACCCGAATGTGCACGGTAGCTACCTTTCGCGACCAGATCCATGGCCGTGCACATGTGGTTGAATGAGAATCTCGTTTTAGCTGAAAACGTGTTTCGAACCAGAGTCGTGTGGCCACAGGAATCTTATTTGAGAACGAAGAAGGCATTCCCCTTTCTCCCACTTCTCGGACAAGCGTCATGCAACCGCGTACATCGTACGTCCTACCAAGTGCCAAAGTCCTTCTCCGCCTTCTTTGACGACTTCTTCAGGATCAAAGATACTTCTGGACATGTGCTTGGCGTTGAGGTGGCAACGAAGCGAGACGAAGGAGCGTGTGTACCCAGCATCTTTTGTACGAGCATGATAAGGAGTACTATGGTCCATCTGGCTCACCAGACCAACCATGCACGCGTCTGATACCTTTATTTTTCTTCCTAAAGAGACGATAATCGTAGTGTACTCGCCAGAGAACCTGGCGAACATTCTGCGATACTCACAGATCCCTCGCTACGAGGTGGAAAAGACCGTCTTCGAGATCGATCAATGCTGTGACCGTTGCAGACCAAGCAAGCCTCGAAGAAATTTTCGTTGACGAGCGAAAGGGACGACCCCTACCCCGCCTCGCAGAGAAACAACCAGCCAATCACGTGGGACCAAACGATTTGTCGACGGATCACGGCGCCGCAAGCGGGTGTCCCAGCATGTTCCCATGTTCCGACCTTTGATGGTCGGTCGATTCTACTGGTACCAATACGGGGCCAAGCAAAACTGAGAGCTCGGGCCACACAGCTAATGAGCGAATATGCTCAATACCAGTTGCTTCACTATGGTTCAAATGCTACGTTTCGAAGGACTCGCATCGTACGAGTGCGCGACAGACAAAAGATACCTGTGTCGTGTGAGTTGGATGTATAACAATGCTCTTTGGCCCACAACGCGGCTGCGTTGCCGTGCGGCAAGCCATGTCGCAAGCGCAATTTCGAATCTCCAGCTCGCGCACCTTCAGTCCTCACACCCGGCTCTCTTGCTCCTTGTTTCTTGCGAGTACCCACCCCGCGATAGGTTGGGACCGTACGTTAGGTGCGCGGCGTTTGACCTTGTATCCCATGTCACCTTGAAGATCGCACTGCAGTGGCCAATCAAACGCGCGTATCTTCGTGGCAGCCAATCATTTACGCGTGGCTTTATCGGTCCACCCAATCAGGAGTCGACCTTTGTTCTAGAACATCTTGCCGAACATCCGCGTGTCGCATATGCGTATCGCAGAAACAATCTAATCCGAGTTTGGTCCCGCGATCAAAGACTTGTAAGTCCATAGCTCATTTTCCAATTTCCCTTCATCGATTCACACGATGACCCACTTGCTACCGGGCGACTTGATCCGGCTCATCGAAACGCCCAAGGAGAAAGTCCAGTCGACACTCTTGCACGTCGGGGGCCTTGCCGGCCTCGCCAAAGCCCTCGACTCGTCGCTCGAGTGTGGCCTCGACGGTGCCAACGACAAGGACCTTGCGCTGCGCCGTGATACGTTTGGCTCCAACTTTGTGCCACCGCCGCCGCCCACGACCTTTCTGCAGCTCGTGTGGGCTGCCTACAAGAACTTGACGCTGCTTGTGCTCACGGGCGCCGGTATCCTCTCGCTTGTCCTTGGCTTTACGGTCGGTGGGCAAGAGCCAACGCCGCGCCGCCTCAGCGACGGCGACCCCGCGACCACGTGGATCGAAGGGTTTGCGATTCTGCTTGCGGTGACCATCGTCACGATGGTGACGGCAGTCAACAACTATCAAAAGGAGCAGCAGTTCCGTGCGCTCTCGGCCATCAAGGACGACGAGATGATCAAGGCCATCCGCAACGGGGTACCGTGCGAGGTCGGGAAGCACGACTTGCTCGTCGGCGACGTGGTCCGCATCGACGTTGGCGACATCTTGTCGGCCGACGGCATCGTGTTTGAAGCGTCCGAGCTCAAGGTCGACGAAAGTGCGATGACGGGCGAGTCGGTTCTCATTGACAAGCACCCGATGGGCTTGACCCCATTCGTGCTCTCGGGCACCAAAGTCATGCAAGGCATGGGCAAAATGCTGGTGCTCGCGGTCGGTGTCTCGAGCCAGGCCGGCATGATCTCGGCGCTTCTTGTTGGCGGCGCGACGTCGACGCCGTCGAGTCGCACCATGACGCAGATCAGTGACGACGACGCCTACGTGGCCATTGCAACGCCGCGGGACGACGATGCGAGTGGCAATTCGGACAAGATGCTGCATGTGGCACCGACGCTGGACGAGCCGGAAGAGTCGCCGATGCAAGGCAAACTCGACGCACTCACCATCTTGCTCGGCAAGTTTGGCATCACGATGGCGCTGCTGGTGTTTCTCGTGCTCGTTGCGCGCTTCTCGATCGACCAATATGCTGTGCAAGGCCGGTCGTGGGCCGGCACGGCCGATGTCAAGGAGTATCTGCACTTCTTTATTGTCGGCGTCACGGTCCTCGTTGTGGCCATTCCCGAAGGCCTTCCGCTCGCTGTGACGATCTCGCTCTCGTTTTCAGTCAAAAAAATGCTGCTGGACAACAACCTCGTGCGCCACTTGAGTGCGTGTGAGACAATGGGGTCAGCGACCACGATCTGCTCGGACAAGACGGGCACGCTTACGACCAACCAGATGACGGTCATGCAGTGCTGCATCGGCGACACCGTCTTTGATTCACCGGTGGCATTGGGCGAGTCAGCAACCAACGAAATGGTTGAGCTGCTCGTGCGCAGCGTCGCTATCAACTCGACGGCCGAGCGCGTTGACGGCGTCTTTACCGGCAACAAGACCGAGTGTGCGCTCTTGGACTTTACAGCAGCGCTGTCGCCGACGACCGCATACGACGCCGTTCGCCGGGCGCATGCCAACATGCACATTCTCCCATTCTCGTCGGCCAAGAAGCGCATGTCGGTGGTCGTGCCGCTCACGGCGACGTCGTGCCGTGTCTACACCAAGGGTGCGAGCGAGATTGTCTTTGGTCTCTGCAGCCACATGGCGTTTCCCGATGGTCAGGCTCAAGAAGTACCCCATGACGTTTCGTTTTGGCGCGAAAATATCATCCAGCGTTTTGCCAACGACGGGCTCCGGACGCTCTGCCTCGGCTACAAGGACATTGCTGCACCGTGGGAGCATGTGATTGCGCACTACTCTGAGGACGATCTTGAATGCGACCTCACGTGCGTCGCGATCGTCGGCATCGAAGACCCCGTGCGCCCGGACGTCCCCGAAGCCATTCGCCAGTGCCAGCATGCCGGCATCATCGTGCGCATGGTCACTGGCGACAACCTGGCGACGGCCACGTCGATCTCGAAAAAGTGCGGCATCCTCCAGGACGACGCCGACGCGCTCGTCATGGAAGGCGCCGAGTTTCGCCGCATCGTGCTCGATGGCAACGGCCAGCTCAAGCAAGACGTCTTTGACACGATCTGGCCGCGGCTCCGTGTCCTCGCGCGCTCGAGTCCGCAGGACAAGTACACGTTGGTCTCGGGCATCATGGCGTCGACGGTCCACGGTCCGCAGGTCGTGGCAGTCACGGGCGATGGCACCAACGACGCGCCGGCGCTCAAGAAGGCGCATGTCGGCTTTGCGATGGGCATTTGCGGCACGGCCGTCTCGAAGGACGCGTCCGACATCATCTTGATGGACGACAACTTCAAGTCGATTGTGAACGCAGTCAAGTGGGGCCGCAACGTCTACGACTCGGTCTCCAAGTTTCTCCAGTTCCAGCTCACGGTGACGTTTACTGCGATTACGCTCTGCGTGCTCGGGGCCATTTTTCTTGAAGAGACGCCGCTGAGCGCCGTCCAGCTGCTCTGGGTCAACCTCATCATGAACACGTTTGCGTCGCTTGCGCTCGCGACCGACACGCCGTCGAACGCCGTCCTCGACCGCAAGCCGTACCCGCGCACCAAGCCGCTCATCTCCAAGAAGATGACCAAGCACATCCTCGGGCACCTCGTCGTGCAGCTCGCAATCTTGCTGACGTTGACCCTCGCGGGTGAAAAGCTACTGCAGATTCCGTCCGGTCGCAAGTATGAGACCGAGGACCCGAGCCAGCCCTCAGTGCACTACACGGTCGTCTTCAACACGTTTGTGTTCCTCCAGCTCTTCAACGAAATCAACGCGCGCGTCATCCATGACGAGAAGCGGGTCGTGCTCCGCGGCCTCTTGACCAACCGCCTGTATGCGTCCATCTCGGTCCTTCAAGTCGTGCTCCAAGTCATTTTTGTTCAGTTTGGCGGCAACGCGTTCGACTGCGCGCCGCTGAACGGGACGCAGTGGGCCGTTTGCATTGGCCTTGGCGCGCTGAGCTTGCCCGTTGGCTGGAGCTTGCGCCGGATCCACTCGCACCATTTGCCCAC